GAGTGTCGCTTGGTAAGATATTCCTCCGTACTTCCTTTATTTTTGGCTTCTAAGTTAGCTATGCGCTTCTTGAGGGCGCTCATTTCAGGTTCAGCTTGTTCTACCGGGCGAGGCTTATCATGTTTATCCAGGGGCGTCAGTGAATGTTGAGAACCTAGCCTGTTGAATACACTGTTTGTTTTCCTGGCTGTTGGTTTTGTTGTGGCAGGAGAACTCCTGACTTCTTCAGTTCGTTCTTTAGAAGATTCTCCACTAGAGAACTGGAGAGTTCTTTTGGTGGAGAGTCGCCTGCTCCTTCCTTGTTGATGGGATTCTACCTCATCATTTTTTGGTGGATTTCGAGCTTGTTTCTGCTCCAATCGACTGACAACATTTGTCAGCCTTTCGATAGCTTCCCTCATAGCCACCATCTGAGGGTCGGTAGCTTCGTCACGATCTCGTTTTTCAAAGTTCATAGGGTGGCTAGTTTGTTCGGGGTGAGTATGGGATCGATTTCCAGATATTGAAAATTCGTCAATCATGCTGGTTTATAGGTTTTGTGGAGAGATGGAGCTGTTTTCCCAAGTTGGGCCCTCCTTCTAGCGCCAAGCTGTTGACGTTGAAAATTGTATAGACAAGATTCAAGCCAACTTAAGGGAAGATATGTGAAGTTCTTATTGAAATATTCAAGTGTTTACAAGAATTTGATACAAATAACCATTTCTTCCTCGTGTAATCAGAGATATTTACAATATGGAAAATATGCTAAGAGATTATATAGAATTGTATTCACGTTTTTTCTTCCCCCCTTTTTTCTGGGGCTATGGGTCCCTATTTATAGGGATAATATGTATGCATGTTGCACCTCTTGTCTTTTCACTGCAATTCCGAGCTGAAGAAGTACAATGGCTGGTGCGACAGGTTTGGTTGCCGAACTAGATTTTGTCAGAGCTCTTCAGAACATTAATGGTAGGTGGCCCCTAGTAATTAATGCATTACTTAGAGGAGGCAGCTAACACTTTTAATTGGAGGATTATGGGGGCAATGATGTAAGACCTTTCCAGGTGCATCTCCATAATTGGGTGCTTATATATCCTGTCAGAGATTTCTCATCATTGCAATATCTTTTGCCTTAGGAGACTACACAAGCTTCATGCAGAAGGAACCTATATCCGATCTGACCTCATTTATCCGAGCTCAACATATCATCCACTTACGGCATAGATCAATCCGACCTTAATTACCTCGGAGGTCAGCTCCAAATCTCAACATGTCATCCACTCGTGACGTAGACCAATCCGATCTCAATCACCTCGGAGGTCAGTGTCAACAGTAATGATAATGAATTTCTTTTTCTTGAATACGACGGATGTGTTCCCTCAAAATTGGATCGAACTCTGCAATCATTTCAATTAAACCTAAAAAATTCTCATTATCTTTTTCATAAATTTTCTCGTTAGTCCCCCGAAATGCCAAATTATTCTTATGTAGAAAGCTAACAATAGAAACTATCCTCACAAAAACTTCTCTCCAATGTTCTCTATCTTTGTTGATTAGATCTTGCACAGCTTTATCAATTGTTAAATTTTGTTGTAATCTCCTTTCCAATTCAATCCATCTTTTCATGTTATGCATGTGTCCATTACTAGTCTCATGACTTTTAAGCCTAAAACTAAGATTTTTCCAGTCATTGATTCCTTCATTAGCTAATTGAATATTGTTTCCTTCTTGCTTAAACAACTTACAACAAAAGCAAATAATTTATCCAATGAAATTGAGTAGACCAACCATTTGCTATCACTCTTCTTACCATTTGCTAAATGCCGAATATAATGTGGAAGAGAAATGTCTATTTTCTGAATCTTTTGGAAAAGTAAAACCATCCTCTCTAAGGGGACTTCTTTTCACTAACAAGTCTATCAAGTTTTGATCAATAGTTTTCCAATTTCCTGGATTACTAATGTTGAAATGCGAAGGTACACATTTTTCAATTTCCTCCAGATTTTCTTGCTTGTGATCTACTAAAATTTCATGCTCTTTATTCATATTATCTTCACTTTGAACCTTTTCATTTTCAAATTCTTTATCAACCAAATCTTTCATTGGACATTCTCTTTTATTATTAATATTACTACCAAGAAACTTGTCCATAGCTCCCACTTGAGATTGAATAAATTCTTTAGTTTTTTTTCTTTTTTTCCTTTTTCATGTCCAGACAAATACTTTCTAGTAGACATATTAAAGCAATATAAAAAAAAAATAAATACAATATTAAACTTTAAATTAGTTGAGGAACAATAAAACCTGGCAATTCGTGCAATGTCACAAAAATGCCCACTTGATCACTCTCAGCCAAATGTTGTGTCCACTCCCTTGATAAATAAATCTCCAGACACTTTTGATCTGTACGTGAAGAGTGAAGAGACCCTTTTTTGTTAAATTTTATCTTTGAAAGTTTAATTCAAAGAGAGAGAGAGAGAGAGAGAGAGAGAGAGAGAGAGAATTTATTGTACGTTGGGTTTAAAACAATAAAGGTAGGTGCTTGTTGAGTGGAATTTGAAGAGACAAAAAAGACTTTTTACTTGGTTAAGAAAAAGAAAAGGGATGTTTGGAAGATAAATTGTCAAATTAGTTATAGAAATAGAAAGTTATGGTTGTGATATATTTATATGATAAATAAATGTAAGTATAAATTTTTTGTCATTTATATATATATATATATATATATTTTAAAGATTTTTGTATTTTTAATTTTTATTAATTTCTTGTGTTTGCATATGACAATTCTATTTTAAATAATTTCACTAATATAATTTTCGTTTCTCTTCAACCAACCAATTAATCTTATAAAATTCGGGGCCCTCGTCAAACTGGGGCCTCAAGCGATCACCTACACCGCCTATAGTCAGGGCCGCCACTGTTTCAAAGTACGAGAAGCCGTAAGGAACAATTGTAAACAAATTATTACATTTTGAATATTATCTTTATTGTTTAAAATTATTTTTTACGTAATTCTGTCTCGTCCCCCGACAATAATATTGGGTCTGCCCCTGTCTCTCACACTTCAAATTTCTAAATACACCCCCAAAATATTTATCTCAAGAGAGACTAAAAACATTATTCAAGTCACAATCTCAAAATATTTCTATAATATCTCACCTATTGAGGTGGATCCAATGTACAAACGAGGCCCCTTAATGTATTCCCAGTACGAAAAAGCAAATCAACTTTTATAACATATTGGAAAACACAATGTAAAAGAGTTAAGTCATTTGTACATTAAAAGAGTACATCACTTTTGAAAGCATCCAAGTTGGAATGATTTGATTGGTGAATTTTATTTTTTTTAAACTGTCTAATAGCATGTTGTCAGTGATCGACATGATGTAAAAATTGATGTATATATAGCATAATTCATGTAGAAAACAAACCAACTGACCATGCAAATTCAATCACTATTTTTCATGTAGTATAAAGTCACTACAAAAATGCCCCCCATGGCTTCAAATTCTCCAAGAGATCCAAATAAGAATTCTCTTACAACTACTCTCAAACTAGCTATCAGGTCGTGAGTTTTTTGCAGGGGCTCTTTGAACATATGCATTGGGTGCGTCCATCATCTCGCTTATCTTGAAGAAAGACAAGCCTAATACATTTTTTGATTGTAGGCCTATAAGTTTGTCAGATTGCTTAACTCAAGAACATTGCTACATAGAAATACAGAAAGCTGACATAATACACACAAATAGGTGGGATCCATTTTTTTAGGCAAGGCAATATTTAATTCACATGGGGCTCATCCTCCATGTGAGTATCTGTATTTCTTCTGTAAAAAATTTTCAATACAAATAGATAATTCCTTAATTCAATGGATCACAAAACCCAATATAATTCAATGTTTAAGAATATTTATGAAAGATGAGTATGGAAATGCGAAAAATATATTGTAGGGATACAAGCTTCAGTAAAATGTAAGGACCTTTAGTTCAATAAAAAAAGAATTATAACAAAAGAAAACCTAATTATATAACCACTTAATTTAAAATTAAATGTAAATTGTTGAACTTTCGTTAATTGTTTTACCCATCTGGGAATCACATTCTTTAATTAATTTAAGAATTTGTTTTTCGATTTGCAATAATTAAATCATTATAATTCTTGCAATTTTCATTTTCGAAAAGAAAAAAAGAAAATTAAGCTCTTGTTTGTCTACCATTATTCCAAAAAATTATTTACTACAGTAAGATTCTCCATCACACATTCACCTAATAAGATATTCTACATGCCCACATGGCACATCTCCAAGTGGTAAAAGGGGAAGGTGGAAAAACTCAAGTTTTGTTTGAGGATGCCGCGTCAAGGGTTCGAATCTTGAAATATTGATTTGGTCATTGGGTAATTGCAAGTGTACAAACAGTCTTCCACCTCATACTTGCTATTTACCTCCTTTACCAAGTCCTAGGGCAGGGCAGGTGGGGGCCGCTAAGAATGCGATTCATCCTTTTTTAATAAGATATTTTACACACAAACCAATAAAGTTATTTTACTTTTCAACCACACATTCTCCAAAAAATATTACTCCCTCCATCCCAATTATATAGGCTTGTTTTGTTTTTTCACACGGATTAAGAAAACTTCTTTAATAACATTGAAAAATTAATTTTTGTCAAGATCTTTGCTAATTTATCCCCTATTTAATTTTCATTATGTAAAGTTAAATTATTATTGAAACTAGTAAAGAATTTGAAGAAGAAGAAGAAGAAGAAGAAATAAGAGCTATTCTATGTTTCCAAGAAGTGGGAAATGTGTGTATTTGGATTATTTCTAGAAATTGACATATTAAGTGGGGAAATTTTAATAAGAGTATATTGGTAAAAGAATACAACAAAATATTTTACATTAGGAAACATGCTTATATATTTGAAACAAGAGAAAAAGGAAACTCAGCCTATATAATTTAGACGAATGGAGTATTCATTACTTTATTTTTCTCTCAATGAAAGACAAACACAATCTAAATTTCAACGCCTATGACCTGGAGAAACCTGTATGGTACCACCTCATGATTTTCAGGTCTTGTTATCTTCTTATATAAATATTTTTGAATTATGCTCCTCCTTGTGTACATGGAGTTTGACATTCCTTTCCAAATTCAAAAATGAAGTGGCGGGAAAGTGTGTTGTATTTTCAAACTGGCAAATCGTGATGCAACATGTGGCACAATGTCAAACTTGATGTCAAAGATAATGTACTTGTAGCATGATTG